AAAAAAATGTTGTGTGAATTTTGATAAGAAAAAGGGGGGGGGGGGGGGGGGGTGGCCTCATTAAAATAATTAAATTCTTAAGTAGTCTGAAATAATCTTTTATTATTATTTCTTAGAAAAAAATATTTTAACAAAACTGCCGATATTTAAAAAAACACCATGTGTTGCGACCAACAATGTCATGTGGTGCAACCAACATGCAGAAAACAATAACAACATAAAAAACCAACCCCTTGGTATTTCCCCCAAAATTGTGAAAATATGTTGTTTTCTGGATGTTGAAAGTATTTTCTGAATTATGGAGTGACAAAGAGAGATACCCAAAATTCCCTCAGTAAAAACATTTGCCTCTAATGTGTAAAAAAAATAAACAAGAATTTTGAAACTGACTTCATTCAGTGTTTTTGTACTAGATATTTATGCAAATTAGCGCATATTTCATGAAATAATGCCTCATTTGCATATTTAAACATAACATTTTAGAAAGCTTGTAATACAAAAAATGTTTGCAGTTATCAGTGTAATCAATCAGCTGGGTAAGTAAGGTGATAAGTAGTAGTTATTTTTTTTACCCTATTCACCTGCAGTGTCTCGCCTTAAACTCGATTTTTAAAAGATTTTAAATTTTCTTTACTGTGGACACCATTATATATCATTGACCCTAACATCATAAGATATTTCCAAAAATCGCCAAGCTGCTATTTTCCATATACAATGAAAATATAGTCTTTAAAGTTATGACACAAAAAAGACAAAAAAGCACCATAAGGGTAACATAAACTGAGGCTATTAAACATATGGGATATATTTTGAGTCATATAAGAGGCAAAGGCCAGAATTTAAATTCAAAGATAATTTTCCACCATAGCTCTCAAATTTAATATGTGCCAAGTGCATTTTCAAGCTTGTGTAAAGACACGTAACACTAGGTTTTGTCAATGACACCAACTCTCTATTGGATCTTACATGTCTTGTAATTAAATGTGTCACAACTGTGAATACAAACATTCTTCAAAATATTTAAATTTACTTGTTCTTGTTCAGTACCTATTTAATAGCATTACCCCCCACAGGTAGGTACTTCTAAACTTATCCAAGACTCAATTGTTTAATTATGCACTTTAAATTAAAGGCTGAGGTCTGTGCATTTGCGTTTGCAAAGATAAACTACCCTCCACATGTCTGATCCAATCAGAGACCAGAGCAGGCTTCTGGGATCTTGGATGGTCCTCATGCATCTAGCTTTAGGGTTTTGTGTTTTGCTCCCATCAGTCACCCACAGATGTAATCTGGTGAGAATTGTTCTGCTCTCCCAGGCTGGATAGAGAGGAAAAAAAGAACTAAGAGACACCTGGATTTTGCAAAAGCCCTTTCCCCCGCTTCATTGCTTCAAGGGAACCCCCTCCCCTTAACAGAAGCAGCTGGCTTTGAGACTGTGAAGACTAAATCTTTGCTCCATCTTCTTCTTTGTCAGGAAGAAACAACTGATATTTTTGTAAGACATATTAAAGGGGTGGTTTACTGTTTTTTTTTTACTGTTTATGGGGTGCAGTCTAACACGTGTTAATGCTTTGTTTTTAAAAAAACGCATTATTTTTCACATAATTTACCTTTATTCACTCTGTCCATTCTCCCATAAACACCCTGATCATTTCCTGCTTTTATGAAGCCCCTCCCTCAGAAATACGTGATGGGCACGTATGTTTTTTCATTGTTGTTGTCTCATACTTTTAGATACGCTGTTATTTGTAAATGCTACTGCTTCTGTTAGCTTTTAATTTAAAGCTGATTAAAGGTTTAATACAGTACGGCAACCGCAAGCGCGTCCATCTATAACGCTTCTCATAGCTATGTGAAAATAAGTGCATAAATGGAACGGTTCATTGTTGGAGCTGAGCTGAATGAGAGAGAGAGATGCAGAGCAGGGGGACGCGAGGAACAGGATTAAGAACCGCTGATTTTGAACATTGATTTTGAAACTTGTGAATCCATTAGAATCGTTAGAAGACAGAATCACGATTCATATATGAATTGATTTTTACGTGCACCCCCAGTTTTCTTCCTCTTTTCTAAAGCAGCGCAGCATGGCCTCGCCCCCTTCGTTGCATGTTCCCGGGGGGCAGGGGTTGTCTGGGTTTGTGATGTCACGAACCCGGGAAGTAACTCGTAGTCCCTACCAGCCATTTTTGTAGGCATTAAACTGCTAGAATTTTAAAACACGATATCTCCGTTTGCATTGAACTTTCAGCGCAGCAACTTTTAACATTAAAAAAGTGAAATCGCAATCAACCACCCCTTTAAATTACGCCTTTTTTTAGGAAAATTTAAATAATTTATTAAATGTTGGTTTGTTCATATCTTATTGCTTCAGAAAACATAGAATATAGTGCACAAGTGATTCACTGTAAAAAAAAACACACAATGTACTGTATTAAATGAAAATTCTGTCATTAATTACACATTCTCATGTCGTTCTAAAGCCGTATGACCTCTGTTCATCTTCAGAACACAAATTAAGATATTTTTGATGAATTCTGAGAGCTCTCTGACCCTCCCATAGACAGCAATATAATTACCACGATCAAGGTCCAGAAACGTAGCAAGGAGATCGGTAAAATAATCCATGTGACATCAGCGGTTCAACCGTAATTTTACAAAGCTACGAGAATACTTTTTGTACGCAAAGAAAACCGAAATAACGACTTTTTTCAACAATTCGTCTCCTCCGCGTCACCCTGCTGCCATTTTGGAGAATATCCACTGAACGCAAACAGTGTATGGTATTCTGTGTCAGCTGCGTCACGCGGATACTTTGTTTTCATTCAAATCAAAGCGCAAACAACATAGAAAACTTTTCCACATGACGCAGCTGACACAGAACAGCAAACACTTTTTACGTTCAGTGGATATTCTCCAAAATGGCACCAGGGTGACGCGGAGGAGACAAACTGTTGAATAAAGTCGTTATTTTTGTATTCTTTGCGTACAAAAAGTATTTGACAAGTAAATTACGGTTGAACCGCTGATGTCACATGGATTATTTTACCGATCTCCTTGCTACGTTTCTGGACCTTGATCGTGTTACTTACATTGCTGTCTATGGGAGTTTCAGAGAGCTCTTAGAATTCATCAAAAATATCTTCATTTGTGTTCCGAAGATGAACGAAGGTCTTACGGGTTTGGAACGACATGAGGGTGAGTAATTAATGACAGAATTTTTGGGTGAACTATCCCTTTAAAATTAAGGAATTTTGCATATAGATTTTTTTATAGATGTTTTCCTGTATTTTGAATTTTGCCCTTTATAATATTGTGTTTTATGGTTAACGGAAATGTCCTCATGTGCGTTTTGTTTTGATACATTTATGCTCCTTTTGCATCCTTTTTGATGCTTAGAAGCCCCATTTATTGTAAATGCAAGGAAAAGAGCAACCATTCCCTCCAAATTTCTCTCTTGTTTTTCTGTTTCATAGAAGAAAGTTGTATGAATTCTCATTAATGTATCAAAACATGTGAAGACAATCCCAGAAAAGCACAAAATTAATCCAACATAAAGCGAGAGACTGTCACTTATAAATATATTTGCAGTATTTTTTAAATTTTAAATAGTAACTCATTGATTTTTTATTTTAAATAACTCAAATTCATTCAAATTTATATAGCTTAAATTTTATCCTGAAAATTTGTGTATTTTATGCTTATAGGAGTAACATGTTTTTAGGTTATCAACATGATGTTCCAAATCTCTATCAACCTCTTGCCAAACCTCAATTGTGAGTCGATTCTCCATTGTACTTCGCATAATGTCGAGTGTTGTTCGCTTAACTTTGTTGCTGTCTATGAAGAGTGTTTTAAATCAGTCAATTCTTATGGTCACATTTCAGTCATCAAGCTGCCTATGTAGGCAGTGTACAGAAAGATTTGTGAAAGTTTTGTGAGATCCAAGTGTTCTATGTCAGTGCCGCAACACTTGCTACAAACGTTGCTACATAAAAACAGAGAGTAAATTTAATGTTTCCTTCATTCCATACCAATTAAATAACAGGGCTGTTTTTATGGCAAGGAAAATGACAGTGCAACATAAGGCTTAAAAAAGTACAAACCTCTCAGAAAGCCAAGTCCCTGTAGGCTGGGGACCAAAACACTGTCAGTAGTAAATTTCAGCTTATGTGGGTTTTGTGTTAATACCCAAAAATTGTCAACTAAATCTCCTTTGGAAGAAAACAAACATAACAGGATTAAGAAAACAATGATTTCTTTCACTCTTTTTGCAACTCTGAAACCTTGAATAATAAAAACATCTATATTTTAGGGGCACAAAGTGATGTGTTTTCTTGAATTCCGAGCTCTGGCTTGAATTACTAGGTGGTCCCTTGTTACCAGATGTAGAATTTATTAATCCAACCCCCTTGTCTAGACATTTTCCAGCTACAACATCAGTTGTTTTTTTGTTTAATTGTCTAGCTGTCAAAGTTGACCCACCCCCTGGTGATTTAAAAAAACGTTCGCATAAACTTTTCACCTGCTTCAAGTTCAGTGGTGTCGAGGTTAATGTGAAGAATCTCATTTTATGGTGGTGACTCAGTGTAGCACTTCTACACCTTGACCTGACCTCGTGTGTGTGTGTGTGTGTGTTTTTTGTGTGTGTGGCCAGGTTTGGCATCCGTAGCCGGAATGTGTGAGCCAGAGAGGAGCTGTAGTATTAATGAAGATATAGGCCTTGGTTCAGCCTTCACTATTGCACATGAGATCGGACACAAGTAAGTATATTTTTTCTCTCTATTTGTCTCTCTGACCATTTGCATGAATGTGAACATTCATGGTTATGGACATATGTGATCAAATATATGTTAATTGTTCTTAATTAGTGGTGTTTACTAAGGCAGGCATCACTATTACAATTGCTTACTTAGTAGTTCACCCAAAAATGAAAACTCAAACCTGATGAGTTTTTTTTTCTTCTTTTGCTGAACACATAAGAAGATATTTTGAAGAATGTGGGTAACCAAACGGTTGATGGTAGCCATTGATGTCCATAGTATGGGAAAAAAACACTATGTAAGTCAATGGCTATGTAGTCAACGAGTAAGTGATGATGGAATTGTCATTTTTGGGTGATCTATCCCTTTAAATCATCTTGTTTACAATGAGTTTATACACATTTTTGGCACTTTTATTCATAGAATCAAAGACCTAGGACAGGAAATAATTAGGGGAAAATGTTACAAGAATGTAGCAAGCCAGATTCAAACGGACTTTTCCTGAATGAGCACCATGACTCATATTTTTTGATATCATAATAAAGAAAAAAAAGCCTCTTTAAAGAATGAAATTCCTAAAAAAAAACTGTTTGGTGTAATCTTTTGTTATTATTGCTCAAGAAAATCTTATTTTAACAAAACATATTTTTTGATATCATAATAAAGAAAAAAAAGCCTCTTTAAAGAATGAAATTCCTAAAAAAAACTGTTTGGTGTAATCTTTTGTTATTATTGCTCAAGAAAATCTTATTTTAACAAAACCTTTGAAAATATATAAATATAATTTTTTAAAGAACTATCTAGGAACATTTTCAAATAAATTTTTTCCCCCTTTACTTTATCTTATTTGACACCTGTTTCAGAGCATTTAGTATCTGGTTAAACTGGATTGTGGGTAGCAAGTGAAATACAGCATGCAAAAGTGGTGCGACTGTTCAGTGAATGCAACCCTGAAGGACTTGATTAAAGCTCTCGGTGGTTGAAAAATTTATCAATATTCTACATGTGACGCTTTCACGTCTCATAATGTATTTGTGTCTGGATTGGATTTATTGTGGTCATTACCATGTATATTCCTCTAGCCAAAATGCAAAGCATGAACCGCCTGCACACACATCATTATGCAAATGAACGTCTGGACAAATGAACCCTATCCTGAAAGCTTAGAAAAATAACCATGATCTATTGGTCTATGTAGCTTTTCGGCTAAGTTCAGCGAGATGGCAGTTTCCTCTATTATGTCTTGCGTCTGCTTCTGTTGTGGAGCAGTTGTAAAAATAGCTCCTGCTTCTTGTGGGGAAGGTTTCTCCCGCGCTGATTTATATTGAGAGTAGAGTGAAATGTCATAAATGTGCACCTTAAAAAAAACCAGAGGAATTGTGTGATGTGGTGGGGGGGTATGTTATATGCATTAGAGGCTGATTTCTGCTTTTGGATAGACAACGAAAGCTTTGAGGTCTCGGCGTAAGGTGATCTGACTTTTTCATACAATATCCAGACAGATATGTAAGGGAACAAAACTTGCATGGCTCAAATGATATATTTGTGGAGTTGCCGGCAAGGAATGTGGGTGAATGCTTCAGCAGTCTTGTACACCGATGGCCCGTGAGCAGATGAAAGCAGCTTGGAGGAAGGGGGAAAGGCAGGCCAGGTTCATTAAGAGATGACTGCCCGATTGAGGTCTGCTCAAACGTGTAATTATTGATTGACAGGCCTGGATCAAGGTAGTGATTACAACTTTCACGTTCCTTCAGAGCTCCAGACAGCCTCTGGCCTTTGACCCGTCTATCCTCTTCTCACAGCTGTTACCAAGCCTCTCTTTACAGCTTAGCTGAAGGAGATGTCCTCCGCTCCTGTTCTTTCAGAGCTGCCCAAGCTTGTTTGCTTGTGCGATGTGATTGACGTGATCCATCAAAGCTCATGATCTGCCGCTTGTCTCACAGTTTTGGCATGAACCATGATGGGATCGGGAACTCCTGTGGGACCAAAGGTCACGAGACAGCCAAGCTGATGGCGGCCCATATCACAGCCAACACCAACCCCTTCTCCTGGTCAGCCTGCAGCAAGGACTATATCACCAGCTTTTTGGAGTAAGTGAAAATAGCATTTGAAGAATGCTTCCTCTATCTGTAATATAATCATATATAATAGAATATAATCAATTAATCCATTTGCTGGTCTAATTAGCAGTGAGGAAGTCCCACAAAAACCTAGCAGAAGTATGAGTTTAGAATCACTACTTTTCAACCAGATGCAACTTTTAACTATTATCATCTAGTCCGAAAACATCATGAAATTGTACTCGTAGTTAATGTTGGTAGAACCAAATGCAAATCTTACAAAAGTTTTGCAGAACAAGGTTTAACACTTTGGGTACACTTTTTGGCAACACTTTATTTCAAGGTGTCCATGTTACACATACTTACTATTATAATAACAATTAATTATGCATAATTGCATGCAAGTAACCATAAGCCAAATGCATGGCTAGATGAGAGTTTGGAAGTTGATCTGTAGTAGGCAGTCATGGGCTAGTCTGTGAATTGTTAGCCTAACGTAAGACGAAAGAAAATAATAGCGGTTGCCATGGCTGTCAAAAAGTTTTCCTGGTGAATGACCTCATGGAAGAAGATTAACATCACAGCCATCGCTGGCATCAGAAGCTTTATCATCGTGTGCCAACTTCCCACACAAACACAAAGAAACGCTGCTCTGTTGGTTTGGGATGAACTCCCTGTTGTATAAATTTATGTATTGTTTTCCCCTTTAGTCTTAATTATTTAAATGTTCTTACTGTTCTCATTGTCATATATGAATGTATGTGTGTACCAAAAGCTCTTAAAAACACAACAAATTCCTTGTGTGTTTGCACACACTTGGTGAATAAAGCTCATTCTGATTCTGATTCTGAAGTGCATTTAGATTCATTTACACACTGTTTAATGCAGCTCAGAGGGGACATGGATGCATGTAACCAGCTGTTACAAATGCATAAATAATATTTAGTTTTAAACATAAAACGTTGAATATTGATAATTGAAAAATTTAAAACATGAAAATATACTTGAAATGTGAAATTAAAGCCGCCAGTAGGTGGCAGCAAGTCACTGTTAATTAGCGAGTCATTGAGATTAAATCGATTCATTCAAAAGTTTGATTCATTCAGAAATTAAACATTTGACTGCTTTAAAAAGTGAGTCACTGAATCATTCGCCCAAAAAATAAGGAAACACTGTCCTGTGTGTTGCTCAGCGGTGCAAAAAGTGCAGTTTTGTAACTATTTTAATTGGCAAAATACAGCAAAAGCGTGCATCTAAAATGCAAATTAATACTAACTTTATTAAACTTGCATAAAATCAATATTACATTTATCATGCTGATATCTGCAGAGAAAATGGCACTCTTAGTGTGATATAGATTAACTATATTAAATGATATAAATATAAAAGACATACAGAGGCATTTCGCTCCGCAGCAGACTTCTACCTAACAGTCAAAGCGGCATTACGTCACGAAAGTGTGGACTCGGAGGAAGACCGCAAGGGTTTAGGTTGCGATTTGGGACGGCGCAAACAATTTGACCCGCCCTAAAACACTGTAGCATGTGCTGTAGACCAATCACAAAGGACTAGGCCATCTGACCAATCAGAGCAGAGTAGGCTCACGGAAAGGAGGGCTTTAGAGAGACTCAATCTCAGAACTGCTTCGATTTAATCGTTTACGAATCATATTACGAATCAAACTATATTAGGAACCTTAAAAATGGCATAATAGGGGCAATTTAATAGAAATGTATCGGAGTAAAAGTATACATTTTAATTAGGAAAAATAGTGGCGTAAAAGTGCAAGTTGACAGAAATATTCAAACTCAAAGTACAGATTCTCATAAAAATACTTAAGTATTGTAACAAAGTATTATTACTTCGTTACATTACACCGCTGGTAATGGCATACCATCAGAGGGTTAGTGTGTCTTGGCTGATGCAATATAAACTCTCTCTCTTTAGAGGCAATGTTGCTTTTAGCAGCACATGGTGGGGTGGTTGGTTAACATGATTAGTTCAGTTGCAGCAATCATGCGAATGCCAGAACAGAACCTAGAATAGAGCCGCCTGCTCTCCAGCAGTATGAAATGTTAACGTTTATGTTGTTAGCGAGCCCACTATTCCCTCAGAGAGAAGGAGAGCGTATTCCGCGGCGTGCTGCTGGAAAAGCCAGCGGGATAATAATTGGCTGTTGTATTCCAGCAGAAAGCAGCTGCGTGGGGCGGACACGTCTCTCAGCCGCTTGCGCACACGCCAGGGAGGGGGGGGGGGGGGGGGGGGG